CTGAACAGACCAATAACAAAGAGATTGAAGCTATAATCAGCAGTCTCCCAACAAAGATAATCCCAGGACCAAACAGCTTTATTACTGAATTCCACCAGACATTTAAAGAGAAATTCATACCAATTCTCTTCAAACTATTCCAAAAAATTGAAACAGAGACCATTCTACTAAACTCATTCTATGAGGCAAACGTCATGTTATCAAAACCAAAGACATGACAAAAAAAAAAGAAAACTACAAGCCAATGTCTTTGATTAATATAGATGCAAAAATCCTCAATAAAATATTAGCAAATAGAATATAGCAACACATCCAAAAAATTATACACCACAATCAAGTGAGATTCATCCCAAGGATGCAGGGATGGCTCAATATATGCAAATCAATAAATGTGATACACCACATCAACAAAATCAAGGACAAAAAACATATGATTATCTCAACAGATGCTGAAAAAGCATTCAACAAAATTCAGCATCCCTTCATGATAAAGACTTTCAACAAACCAGGTAGAGAAGGAAGGTGTCTCAATACAATTAAAGCCATATATATGAGAAACCCACTGCCAATATTATCCTGAATGGGGAAAAGTTGAAAGCTTTTCCCTTAAGATCAGGAACAATACAAGTTGTCCACTCTTGTCATTCCTATTCAACCTGTATTGGAAGTAGTAGCCAGAGCAATCAGGGAAGAGAAAGAAATAAAAGCCATCCAGATTAGAAAAGATGAAGTCAAATTGTTCCTGTTTGCAGATGACATGATCCTATATATGGAGATGCCTCAAGTCTCCACAAAAATTTTAGAGCTGATGAACAATTTCAGTAATGTTGCAGGATAAAAATCAACACTCAAAAATCAATAGCAATTTTATACTCCAACAATGAGCTAGCAGAATAAGAAATCAAGAAAGCTAGCCCATTTACAAAAGTCAACAAAAAAAATAAAATATGTAGGAATCAATTTAACCAAGGATGTGGAAGATCTCTATGATGAGAACTACAAATCACTGTAGAGAAATTAAAGAGAACACAAGAAAGTGGAAAGATATTCCATGTTCATGGATTGGAAGAATTAACACTGTGAAAATGTCCATACTAGCCAAAGTGATCTATAGATTCAATACAATCCCCATCAATGACATTCCTCACAGAAATGGAAAAAAACAATCATAACATTCATATGGAACAACAAAAGACCCTAAATAGCCAAAGCAATTCTGAGCAAAAAAAAAAAAAAAATGTCAGCGGCATAACACTACCTGACTTCAAACTATACCACAAAGCTATTGTAACCAAAACAGCATGGTACTGGCATAAAAACAGACACATGGACCAAAGGAACAGAATAGAGAACCTAGAAATCAGCTCATATACTTACAGCTATCTGGTCTTTATCAAAGGCACCAAGAACATACATTGAGAAGAAGACTGCTGCTTTGATAAATGGTGCTGGGAAAATTGGACATCCATACGTAGAAGAATGAAACTAGACCAGTACCTCTTGCCATATACCAAAATCAACTCAAAATGAATTAAAGAATTAAATATATCTCCTGAAACTATAAAACTCCTAAAAGAAAACAGGGGAAACACTTCAGGAAGTAGGACTGGGCATTGACTTTATTCTAACCACAAAAGCACAGGCACAAGAGGAAAAATAAACAAATGGGATTGTATCAAACTAAAAAGCTTCCGCATAGCAAAAGACACAATTAGCAGAGCAAAAAGACAACCAACAGAGTGGGAGAAAATATTTGCAAAATATGCATCCAAGGAAGGGTTAATATCCAGAATATACAGGAAACTCAAACAACTTCACAGTAAAAAAAACAAGTAACCTAATTGAAAAATGGGCAAGGGAGCTGAATAGGCATTTCTCAAAGGAAGATATAAGAATGGCCCAAAAACACATGAAAAATTGCTCAATATCACTCAGCATCTGGGAATTGCAAATCAAAACCACACTGAGATATCATCTCACTCCAGTTAGACTGGCTATTATCAAAAAAACAAATGCTGGCAAGGATGCAGAGAAAGGGGAACTCTTATACACTGTTGGTGGGACTGTAAAATGGTGCAGCCATTATGGAAAATAGTATGAAGATTCCTCAAACAACTACAGGTAGAACTGCCATATGAGCCATCTATCCCGCTGCTGGGTATGTAACCCTGAAGAATGGAAATCATCATGTCAAAGGGACACCTGTCCCATGTTTATTGCAGCTCTATTTACAATAGCCAAGAGTTGGAACCAGCCAAAATGCCCATCATCAGACAAGTGGATAAGGAAAAAATAGTATATCTACAGAAAAGAACACTACTCTTATAAAAAAAAGAATGAAATTCTGCCATTTGCAGCAACATGGATGAGCTTAGAGAAAATTATGTTAAGTAAAATAAGCTGGGCACAGAAAGAGAAATACTGCATGTTCTTATATGTATGAGGGAGCTAATAAAATAAACAAACAAACAAACAACAAAAAAGGATACAACAATCACAACAATTCATTGAGCTTTTTAAGAGAAGAGAACAGAACTGAGGTTGCCGGGGGTTTAAAAGGGGGGAGGGGTACGGCCATGAAAATCAATTACATTGTGTAATGATAAATAAAAAATGAATAAATAAATAAAAATATATTTTTAAAAAGTCCTAGAGTACATAAGACTTTTGTTTTTGTTTTTACATAATTTCATACTCAGAAAAAGATTGCAAGTATCATACAAGGGTTTCTTGGATACCTTTCACCCAGACTTTTCCAAATATTAAAATTTTACTGCATTTGTTGATTTGTTTTATTCTCTTATACATTTTTAATTGTTTAAAAGTAAGTTTCAGACCTGATGTCTCTTATTCCTCAATACTTCAATATGTGTTTAAGACTTCTCACACATAGCCACAGTTTGAGTATCAAAATCAGGAAATTAGCATTGATTCAACACTGTTATTTAATCTGTGTATTCTATTCAGAGCTCACCAGTTGTCCCAGTTTAATTTTTGCTCTTTTAAGAAGTTTTTGATTATGTGATGAATTCAGTTGCATGTCTCTTTAGTCTTCTTCTAGCTGAATCTATTTCTCAATCTTTCTTTATATTTCATGACATTGATATTTTTGAAGAGTACAGGCCAGTTATTTTATAGAATGTCCCTCAGTCTGGGTTTGTCTGATGTTTATTCATGTTTAGATTAAGGTCATACAAGTCAAGCAGAAATACCAAAGATGTGATGCTGAGTTCTTCTCAACACATTATATAAGGAGGCAGACACTGTCAATTGGTCTTATTATTGGCAATGCTAACTTACTTATTTGGACTTTTTTTTACTATAAAAATTATTATTTTACTCTCTGTAATAAGTATCTAGCAAGTAGACGCTTTGAGATTTTTTTGAATATCTCCTCAAATTTTCACCCACTGTTTTTACCATTCATTGATGATTCTTGCCTGAATGACTTATTATTATAGTGATTACCAAATGTTAATTACTAATTCCATTATTCCTTTTACATTTATTAGTTGGCATTCTACAGTAAAGAGCTTTTTTTTCTCTTCTCATTTATTTGTTATTGTTTTGTAATTTATATCAGCATGGACTCATGGATTTTTTATTCAACAGTTTATTATTCTTTTTAATTAGTTTCTTTTTTTGTATTTTAATGCCTAAACTGTCTCAGATATAGCCAGTGGGAGCTCTTGTCAGCTAATTCCTGGATTCTTTTGGCATGCTTCATAATTCTTTGAGCACTTTCTGACTTTTTGGCACAACAAGCTGTTCCAAGCCATGTTGTACTTTGCCTCTATCTGCCTTTGGATCACCCACTTCTCCAATGAGTTTGGGCTCCTTTAAGGGGAGAATGGTATGTAGAAACCAAGATCTGAGCACTAGGGTGCTAGATGTGCTCATTGCTAATAAGATGCTATTGCTTCTAGGCTCCCTCCACAGACAGAGCTGGAAAATAAATATATGTACACACAAACACACACAAATATATAGCCATATACATATATGTAAATATTTTCTTTACTCTTTTTTATAGCTGTATAGCACTCCATTGTGCAGTCAACCAAAGTTTATTCAGCTACTATTCTATAAATTGGTATTTAGATTATCTTCAATGTTTTTAATCACAAATGATGCATCAATGAATAGTTCTATGCATGTGTATTTTTATATAATGGGGGTATGGGTGTATCTTCAGGATAAATTTCTAGACATGGGATTACTGGGTCAAAGGTAAATACATGTGCATTTATGCTAGTTACTGCCAAATTCCCCTCCATAGTGATTGTACAAATTTGTATTCCCACTAGCAATGTATGAGAGTTCTTGTTCCCCCACAGCCTTGCCAAAGTGTGTTGCTATACTTTTAATTTTTGCTAATCTTGATAGTGAAAAGTGGCATTACAGTGTAGCTTCAATTGCCATTTCTCTTATCACAAGCAATGTAGCACATCTTTTCATATGTTTAAGGGCCACTTTTATAATTTTTTTGTGAACTGTCTGCTCATTCTTTTGACCTTCTTTTTTAAAGAATGTCATTTAAATAGGGGTTTCTAAAATAAAATTTAATTTAACAGGATCTCTAAAATAAAACTTAAGTATGTATTATTAGGATACATTCAAAGTTTCAGACACAGTCTTAGGTATTGCAGTTGTAACTATGAACAAAAATCACTTGTGAAAAGTTTACTCAGCATAATTGTCTCTGAAATTGAAAATACAAACAAGGTTTAAATCCTTGGGTGATGATTGTTCTACAAAGTCGAAACAATTTTCAAAAAATCCAAAATCCTATAAATCCATTCACACTTACCCAAACATATTTTAAGTAAACATCCACTTATAACTTTTCATTGAAATGCCAAAAGGATAATACCAAGGAGCTTAGAAGTTGCATTAGGCAACAGCATGTTAGAAGGCTAGCAGAATACAGGAGAGAAATTTTTTGAATACTGTTTGGAAAAAATGAACATAACATTTTTTTTTTTTTTTTTCATACAGTTATACCTCTTCAGGATGATCCATCTAGCAGATGGCTCTGGACGGACAGAAGTTTTCTCTCAATGTGTAACACACTGCAGTTTTCCACAATGGTGGCATCAAGCCTTTTACAATTTTTTCACCTTCAGCTGCCTCTTCATCGTCCCTCTCGTCATAATGCTGATCTGTAACATGAAAATCATCTTCACCCTGACACGCGTTCTTCATCAGGATCCCCACAGTATGTATTCCTTAGATTTAGTGTTAATTGTGGGCAAACAGTTTTTAAACAATATTCAAAGCAGAGCAACACTATGTGCCAGATACTGTTCTAAGTAGTTTGCATCTATTAGCTCATTTAATATTTACAATCACCCCATGAGGGAACACTTTTATTATACTTTTATCATCCCCAATTTGCAGAGGAGGTATTTAATATCTCCTGATGTTCTAAATTTACACCATGAAATTAAAGAAGGACAATTACTCCATTAAAACCCAGGATAAGTGTTGAGAAATTGTTTCTGCTGGGCCATAACAACAATATATCAAACACCTAATATCTGGAATATAGTGAAAAACAACCTGTTAAATGTTAGCCAATAGACTTGTTAAAGTTGAGGCAATGTATATATATGTGTGTGTGTTGGCATGTGAAATATTGTTGAAAACATAACTAATTACTTCATCCAAAACTTCATGGATGTAGTTGTACCTCTTTTGCGTCAATAATCAGGTGCATTCCCAAAAACTAAAATTTATGAATTTATGAAGTAAGCATGGTTATGTTAGCATGACACACAAAAGACATTTATCAATGACATAGTGCATACATTATATCTGGTACAATTTAATCGGGAAATCATCTTAATTATTATGGTGAGATAACTCTTCATAGATATTTTGAAAAGGAAATTATGATGGTGATGCTCTATAATGGGTTCTTCAGCAGTTTCCACCTGCCAGCATAAAATGGTATTTGGTATTTTGAAAACAGTACCTGACAAAAACAATTTGCCTTCAAAATCTTATCCCAGGGAGATTTAGCTCTATAAGGGATATCTAAGAAAGGTGAATAAGAAGATGAATACCAAATAAGGATTAATCTGAAGAAATATGAGCAGTGCAGAAGCAGAAAAGTAAATAAAGCGGAGGCAGAGAGCTATAGTCAAATATTACTAACACATTTATTCACTTAATATTGTATTTATTCAACTAATATGTACTGACCACTCAATATTGCTGCAAACTGTGCTAGATGAATAAGATCCACCTCGTCCACAGTCTAGCAGAAAAGTCAGAGAGTAAATAGTAAACTAATAATCAAGTGTGATGACATTTTCAGAGGCAGAAGCACAGCACATTGTGCGTATCTCTATATTTTTTTATAATCAGCCACTGTGCTAAGCCAAGATACTTTTTTCTTAATGTGTTCACGTCTATTGACTGCTTTATTATTTGTACCAGTATGTCACTAAAGTCTACAGATATTGAGGATTAATTAAATGAAATAGTGTGTGAAAAGAGCAAAGCCCATAGCAGGCACACAGTAAATGGTAATTAGTTTTGTCTGAGTACCCATAACCAGTCTGTATCCAATAAATCACTTATTTAAAAATTTCTAGTCAAAAATTAATTTTATAATTAAAACATCATGCATGTAAATGTTTTCCTCCATATTTCCACTCTTTGGTGACCAATTAGTAAAAAGTTGCAAAACAATTATTTCTGAATAAGATTATCTGTTTCCCTCAAAAAAATAAAAATATAGTATATGAAGACTATTTATTATTTTTAAAATATCAATTCTGGATTATGAAATAGAAGAACAGATAGTGAGCACTTCAGAACTGCTTCTGAAGGAGTGGAGGTGGTGGGGTGAGGTGTGCTGTGGCCAACTGGCCCCAGAGGCCAAGTCAGAGGCCGGGTGCACCTGTTCTACTGTGTGAGGTTCCTCATCACAGGAAGATATCAAAGAAAGGGCCTTGATCTTTAGGAACTTTGAACTTCTTGAAAACAAGATTCTGAACTCAGGACTTGACAAAAATCTCTCAGTTGTCACCTAGAGCAGGTAGTCCCACTTTTTTATCTAGCCACTTTCCCTATTCTTGAAATTGGATATATCTGTTCTCTACACATTACCTCCATAATATGGAATGGAAAAGGCCACTTTTCTTTTAGTTTCCACCCCTCAGATTTCACACAGAGAAGCCCCTAGGGTGCAGTTATCCTGCTGACCTCTCCAGGAAGAAAGAAGGAACTGACATGTGTCTTCTGCAGCTGTTTGCTTAATGAGAAAGAAATTATTTTGCAAGCTGAAGGCTGATTTTTCATTTGAAACAGGTGCTTAAGTGGTGGTATTTTTGAATTCTTTACCTTTTGTTACAAACAAGAAGACTCAATAAATAGCAAGTATAGATGACTTCAGGGTTTTAAAAAATATTTTCCAATTTCAGCCACTCTTATGATAAGCACAGTTGAGATTGCAGCAGTAAATTCCAAATATGTGTTCTAATTTGAAATGAAAGAGATGTTAAAAAGTTACCTATATGTATATGGCTAAATCCTGGCTCATCTTGTGACATAGATTTACAGGATAGGATACAAAGATTCAATTTTGCAATTAAATCTTTGATGTGATAAAGCAGCATTATAACAAGGTATCAAAAGGTTAATTTCATATGCAAATAAGCCATCACAGTCTCTGTACAAATACTCATTTTTGGATGAGAAGAAGGATTTTTCTCCTACAGAAGGAAGCTGTTTTTGACTTCTATCTCAGAAGTCTTTGGACATTTAACATTTTTAAATGTTTTCTTATTCTTCTAGGGAAAGACCAGATTATACAACAGCTAACCCTATGAATGCATGCTTGGGTCTACTGAAAGGACGGTAAAAGAAAACAAAATGGTTGATTTCAGTGATGGAACCTTATTCATCTCCCTAGGATAGAAAGCTACTATACATTACTTCATCCTTTTTTGTGGAGTCTGATATAGTACTTGAGACTTTGTTTTCCAAGTTGCAAAGGCTTGGAAGAAAAGTGTCATAAGCAGTTTCATTTCAGAGGATGTGATGGACTCAACAGTATGACCTGCCTTCAACTTGGACATAGAGGAACTGGGGAGGTGGGGGTGCTGAGAAAAGTTTCCATAAAACTCCTTTCTCCTCAGAAAAAGAAGCAAAAATGCCTAATGCAGCTCTATCAAATTTTATGGTGTTTTACATTCTATAGCTCCATTTTTTGTAAAAATGTAACTCTTTTCCTCTGGGGGGTGGGGGGAAGGACTGCTTTTTACCTTTAAGAACTAAGCCCTAAACTTCAGGTAGGCAGTCTGACTGTTAAATTCAGCAATTCCATTAATTTCCAACAAATTTCTTCATAAGAAGAGTAACCTGTGAACTTTCAGATATCATAGAAAGAAGCATACAGTTGAGGTGGACAGTTTGGGGCAGCATACTCTCATCCATACAGGACTCTCACTGTCCTTAGTGGCAGAGATACCCAGTGAGTATAATTCCGTGTTCAAGTCAGAATTCAACTCAGCTCAACTTTAGTCTACTCTCTTAAATTTATATCTTAACAGTTTGAGTACCCCATATTTCAAATCCAGATTCATTTGGTAGAATCTTAATTTTAAGATCACTATCATCTTCAACCTCTTCTATTCACCATGTGACATAGTGAAAAGACTGGTATTAAAAAAATGCTTTTCAAACAAACTATCATTATTAAAAATATTGAAAATTGTCTCCCATTATATTCATTACATTGAATTAGTGATTATCTCCTCCTTTTTGTTCTTTTTGATTTTGTGAGACACCTGGTTTTTAAATGCCTGCTCTTTTCTCTATCTAACAGAACTACAACTGAATCAATCCAAGAACAATATACCGAAAGCACGGCTGAGAACCCTAAAGATGACGGTTGCATTTGCCACTTCATTTACTGTCTGCTGGACTCCCTACTATGTCCTAGGAATTTGGTATTGGTTTGATCCTGAAATGTTAAACAGGGTGTCAGACCCAGTAAATCACTTCTTCTTTCTCTTTGCTTTTTTAAACCCATGCTTTGATCCACTTATATATGGATATTTTTCTCTGTAATTGATAGTCTATATGGGAAATCATGTAAAGAAGAGCAAGGGAATGAATTTCTCCATTTGGGGATGATAAACACAAAGGCTGCAGCACATTTGCATACAAACAAAGCAGGATTTAAGCTTACATTATCATCTTTACTCTTTTAGAAACCACATTGTCAAAGCCTCAATTACAAGGGAATACTGAAATATTTTCTCTCAGTCATAAGCTTCTGAATTAATGTCTACTCTTTCTAACCTCCTATAATACATTATCTGAGTTTCTTATCACTTTCTCCTTGTGTAATAATGTAGAAATATTTTAAAATAGCCAAAGCCTAAGATGAAAAGTGCCAAAAAGGCTGAGAAACCACTACATAGTCCTAACTTCAGCATACTTTGGACATTTTTTTCTACAAAAGGGGCTTTGTTGCAATTACAGTCTTATGCTATATGTGGAGCACACAAACAGTATTCTCCCTGCCCACGGATCAATTTTCCCTAGTGTGGTTAAAAAAAAATACAGGTTCTAATTTTTTCTTTGGCTTCAAAAGCATTCTGACATTAGGACTACTCAGCAACCAACCCCACCATCCACTCTACCAACCTTACAAGACTATGAGTAGTCCTCCTTCATCCCATTTACATGGTACAGGCTGTTAAGTGTCTCCATATGAAGGGGGTTGGGGAAGGGTTAGGATTTCAACAGGGGTTTATAATGTTCTTCTAGGATGTACAGTCTATTGAATATGTGGTAATTAACTGCCATAATAATAACAGTGTTTAAATATTAAGAAAAGACCTATACTGTTATGTTTTATGCATAGTATACCCTCTGTTTTAATAATATAAGGGATTTTTTGTCTATCTCCTGCTCTTACTAAACCCATGATCGATAAATCACTGAGAAAAATCAACACAAAACCAAGCAAATGCACTAGCAAAAAGGTGTTTGAGGGCCGGCCCGGTGGCGCACTGGATAGTGTGCCGCTTGGGAAGCGCGGCGGCGCTCCTGTCCGAGGGTTCGGATCCCACATGCGGACCGGCTCCCGCTCGCTGGCTGAGCGAGGCGCGGGAGCAACGCTGAGGCTTGCGATCCCGTTGCCGGTCCCCGGTCCGGTACGGGGGCAACACTGAGGGTTGCGATCCGTTGCCGGACATGGAAAAAAGCCAAAAAAAAAAGGCGTTTGATACATAAAAGGAACTCTGGAGAGAAAACTATATAGTTTCAATCTATATAGATCAAAGAAGACAGTGGAGAATATTGGGGGAGAGAGGAAAAGAAAAATTCTGTAAATGTGAAACTAACACATACTGACATTCACATTAAATGGTATGATTTTCAAAATACGTCTGCACAACACTTCTTTTATTTCATTCAGGCATGTGTCTACCTCTTTTATGAAAAATGAAAGAGGATGAAAATAATGAGAATATAATATCCATTTAATGAAAAAAACATGATAAAGGACTTAAAAAAAATTCAACCATAATTTAATATTTTTTAAATAGGTAAGATGCCACTATGCAAGCTATGTGGTGCCACACAGAAGATGAAATGTAATTTCCAAATATTCTGGGGCATGTGGAAATGTGGAAAGTACATTGTTTACTAATAGTAAGTCCTTCCTGTCCTTATCTTTCTCTCCTCAAACTTTCAGTTTCATAATGTTGTTGTGGGGTTTTTTTTCACATCCTATCATCTTTACCAATTCTGTCTCCATAGAGCTCCTTTCTTCTACTCTTTCTTTCATATCTTCTTTTAGACTAAATTTATACCTTTGGTTAACAAATCCATGGCCCAACTCTACAGTTGAATTGGGAAGGCTCAAAATTTTTAATGTGCTAAAATGCTCAAAGTTGACATGTACACGTATTCCAAGATTTTATAGTTCTGCTAAATGACACAGGGGTATAGATAAGTTGCAACAAAATCAATCTACTCCAAGTCTTTTTGTCATATATGTGTTCCTAAACTGATAATAATTCTTACTTCTGGATTTAAGGGCACAAAGAACACACATGTACAAGGTACAATCTAAGGGCTTCATTACATATGTGTTTAATGAACATATCTCAACTTGGTTCTTATGTGTTCAAAAACTTCTATTTAGGTATTTCCTCAGGCATTTTTTGATATATTAACTAAAGGGCTATTCAAAATCTGCATGCAGGAGTCCTTAACCTATAGTTCCTGCACAACACTATATTTCACTGTAATTGTTTTTGTTTTACTCCTATTTGTATTATTTTATGCAATTAAAAACATTATTCTGGGAGGAGGTTTATAGCCCACACCAGGCTGCCAAAGCAGCCCATGGCACAAAAAAGGTTAAGAATCCCTGGATGATTCTGTGTATTTATAAGGAAGTTTATTACAATAAAAATGTATCGGAATGTATTCATTTATTTATATACATTCATAATAATATTAATATTGAAATTGGATTGCTTCCATATGCTTAATCATTCTTTTCAAACCGAAAAACTCTTTTAAGGTTCAATCTGTAATAAAAAAAACTTCATAGACTAAGTATTCTATATGAATATTGTGGTCCATAAATTAAAATATGGATATGGATTTAAGCTACACTCATAGCCCAAAAGGTAAATGTGGCTTTTAAATTAAAAATACACCCTTCAACAGAGCATGTTTCATATTTGATATTAAGTCATTTACTCTATTTCCACTTTTTATTATTCTATAATAAAAGATGAAGATTTCTTGTAAAAAAGGAAATGTTCAGCAGAATGAATCCAGTGTATCAGATAATTAAAATTCTGTCTTGGTTATCTTCTCCTTTATTTAGCCTATAAAACTACATAGTTAAAAATTGGATTTGCTTTAGCAATTCAGTTTAGTAAGAAAGTGACATAAACTAATGACAATGAATTGAATGAAGATTACATTAATTCAATTTCAGCCTATTAAACAGAGATATAGTAGCTAAAAAAAATACTCGGGGGAGAGGAATACCCTAAACATTATCTTCAGAGAGCATAAATCAGCATAAATGAATTAGGAATTTCCTTAGAGTGACCTTGTTTCAGAACTTATGTAGTAGACGTAAAGAGATAATATTTTTAAGCAGTTAAAATATGTTTAGAATTTCATCTATTTTACCTGTGACCTGTTTTCAAATGTCGAGTAAATGCCTTGGACTTTTCTAATTACTATAAATTGTGTCCATATGACTAAAATAAGAAAAGAAATAAAAGAATATGGTTTGATTTAATTTTGCTTATTATTTTATGATTAAGTTTAAAAATCAAGGTTAAAACAATTGGTCTGACTTTAAAACTTACATAACATAAAATGCATGCATAGGAGCAACAGATAAACATGCAAAAGGTGTTAATAATTTCTGAGTAATTTTAAAAATGTTCTTCCTTGTGAATTCCCGTAATTCCAAATTCCCACAATGAACATATATTGCTTTTGTAATAAGAAAAAAACACAATAAATGTTATATGTGTGTGTGTATTTGTATGACTTTATTTTATGCATCACTGTTTTCCTAGAATGTTTTCTGCTATAAGGAATAGAAAGGTCAAAGTAGAAGTAACATTTTTCTATCTCATGTTACAGGATGTCCAGAGATAGGAATGCAGAATTGGTTAACTCAGAGCTTTGAGTCAGTTTCTCTGCTTCCACCAGGCTTCTCTTTCATAATTAGAAGTTGGTTGTCACCATTCTAAGTCTCAAATGCAGAAAGACAGGGTGTTTTCTCGTTGTGGATCTCTCTTTCCCAGAACCCTCAGCACTTCCTCTTAAATTGGCCTCGGTGGGGGGAGGAGGAAGGGTGGAATGCGGCTGGGTAGTTAGCACAGTTAGAGTGTGGTGCTGATAACACTAGGGTCCAGGGCTTGATTCCTGTACTGGCCAGCCACCAATAAATAAATAGGCCAGAACTGGGACAAATGACCATCCCTAAACCAATCATTACTAAAGAAGAAGAGGCTTATCCCAGACACTTTAAGGGCATGATTCATCTTGTGGGACAGGGCTCAATTTCCCTTAACACTTAGTGATCTGATTACTGAAAAAAATGTAGGTCTTTTTTCTTTGTGTGTGTGTGTGTGTGTGTGTGAGTGTGTGTGAGAGAGAGAGAGAGAGAGAGAAGGGGGGGAGGAGAGAGAGAGAGTGTAAAAGGGTAATAATGTCTTTTGTTCCAGAATACAGCAGTACCTGCCACAATCACCAATTAACTTCTCAAAGCAAATTTGAGACCATATGTACCACAAATTTAATTAGTACACAATTTAAATACAAAGCATAAAGATTAAATGCAGTTCTTGGAACGTAGTAATTGCACAGTAAATGTAGCCCTAAAGGAAAAGAACAGATTTCCATTGTTTTTCACAATCTAAATCCAAGCATTTTAAACTCTTGTGGTTGGAATCCTCATCTCATATATATAGAAGATGGATTCTACCTAATTATTGACTTTTGGGGGAACTAATAGTTCCTGCTTTTTCTTCATTAATCTATTTGTCTGTTTTTATAATTAGTCCATTGGGTAAGAAATTTTCATGAGTTTTTAAAATTCTGGCCATCACTTCAGATTCAGAGAATAATTGTTAAATAAGACAATAAATAAATGGCAACTTGAAGTGAATTTCCTATAAAGCTAATAAAACTTAACTTCAAAGCTCCTCACTTATTCAGTCCATTATTGAGGCCATGGAAAAAATGTTTTCACATGATCACATTTTTTTAAATTTGCAAAAATAATATTTTTTAATTGCAATTGATTAAGACTATCTCTTTCCACTCTTTTCTTTTTAATCTTTTTTCAGATAAGGTGGTGTTGGAAAGACCTTGGATGGATATCCTTGGGATCCAGCCAAGGGGACGTTAAATTAGGGATATTTTTAGATTGAGTCTAGAGGGATGTTATGTGGTACTTGGTCCCTTTTATGTATAGTTTAAAAATTGTTAACCATTTCAGTAAGCTTCTAGGCATAGTACTAGATAAAATACCCACTGTACTGACTTACCTGGCATAGTGACAGGAAAGTGTAGGGCCAGAGGCCATATCATGATATGAATGTGTCTGGACATATGGCACCAAAACTAAATGGTAGTGAGGGAGAAACAAGCTATAAAATGTCTATGGAAAATTCTTCTAGTCCTTAGCATGTACCCCTGAAGGTGAAACCCAATAAGTCACATTCTTGTATAACTC